ATCTTTTCACTGTAATCTTATTTCAAGAGTCTTTCTTTGTTTTGAGGGTATGTAAACTTTGGCATTAAGGGTTTATAAGGTAAGGGCATGCAATCAGTGTGATATGCTATTCAGATCCCATTTGAAGTCACCTGGGATGATCACAAAATTTTCTAGAAATACTTAATGCAAATAAGTAAGTCTATGAAAAAAATGACTGATATAATCTCAAGTTGTTTTTTAATGTTCGTACATATTCATTGAGTGCGTACATACTATGTGGATTTGCCATCCATTTTGAATGGAGAAATAAATTTGCTCATTTCTGTCTTAAAAATCAAGCCTTCAAAAGCGTACATTGCATTCTGGGATACCATCAATCAGAGATTAGTTCAACTGATGTGAGTATGGAACACATGCTGAATTGGATCGTATATCACCGTACATTTAGGTTGCAGATCCTTATCAATCCTTTTATATATATATTACCATAGAATACAGGGACAGGTAACTATGGAAACCATCAAATGGAAGAGAATTGTGTTCCGTACAACATTTCTTTGTACGTCTCGTTCTATTATGTAGTCATCTAGGTGTGTGTAGCATTGAGTCCTCTGCACTGTCTGTATCACACTTATCCAAGTAGTTTATGTGACTCGATTTTACAAAACATGCTGTATCAAATACAGAAAAGACTGCAGTTGTCTGTTCTTGTATTCTCTAGTGTCTGTTACAATTACTAATCTCTTGTATATATGTACAGTTTGTTGTCTTCGTCTGTCCAACTGTTCTACATGAAAACCTACTGATATTGTATTCTTTTGCTTTCAATACTTATTTTTAAATTGGAACATATTTATTTACACAAAATTTTTCTTCGCGATGTCTGAGGCACTTTCAGTAACTAACTCTCCTGCCTTGCACTACATACAAATCACAGTTTTTATGAGCTTTATGAGTTGTGACTCTTTTGAAACCTAATGAAAATCACTGTGACTTCCGAGAACACCAACGAAAGTCACTCTGCCTCCCTAGGAGCCCAATGAAAGCACTGTGACTCCCTAGGACCCAAGTGAAAGCCACTGTGAATCATTTGGAACCTGATGAAAGTCACTGTGACGCCCTAGAACCAAATGAAAGTCACTGTTACTCCCTGGGACCCAAGTGAAAGCCATTGTGACTCCCTAGGACCCCAATGAAAGTTACCCTGGGGATCCCAGTAAAACTTACTTACAAATCTGTCTGTGAAATGAGATTCTCCCTCAACAAATTCAAATTAGTTTTATAGTATTTCATTGTTGTCTTTTCAGGTGACATCGTTTTTTCTTTTATTTCTTGGATTTACTTGTCTACTAATAATAAATGGAAAATTTTATCCTGGTTTTGTTGGAAGTATCTTGTCACTCATCTCAGCGCTGTCAGCCTCTATTTATAAGGTAACTACAATCTCAACTTGTAATGTAGAGCTCCCTCTACAGTTAGTTGTTAAATGGTGGTAGTTGTCATGTCACATCCTGTTTGATATGGAGCCCATAGCGAAGTATATAACCTACTGTAAAATACTTTATTTTAGCTGGAATTAGTTTTTCGCTGAAAAGACTTTTTGGGTGTTTTGTATGGAATTTGTTTGAATGTAAAAATAAGAAAAAATGTATATTCGCTGGATTTTATTTTCACTGAATCATTCCTACAGCGAAAATAGCGAAAATAAAGTATTTTACAATAAGTAAAATACATTGTTTGTTTATTGGATATTCAAACATGTGCTGACGATGACCACCACCTTTTAATGTGGCATATTTTAGTTACCATTGGAACTAGTCCATCACAAGCAATTATTAATTTGGGTTCTGTACATGCATTGGAATTAGTTTTTCGCTGAAAAGACTTTTTGGGTGTTTTGTATGGAATTTGTTTGAATGTAAAAATAAGAAAAAATGTATATTCGCTGGATTTTATTTTCACTGAATCATTCCTACAGCGAAAATAGCGAAAATAAAGTATTTTACAATATGTAAAATACATTGTTTGTTTATTGGATATTCAAACATGTGCTGACGATGACCACCACCTTTTAATGTGGCATATTTTAGTTACCATTGGAACTAGTCCATCACAAGCAATTATTAATTTGGGTTCTGTACATGCAATTTAATTTCTCATACATGCATATTTTGTTTGAAGTTGCTCTAAAACAAGATATTGTATTACCCTCTTTGAGCAAACATGAAAGTTTTCTTATTCTTTTCTACTGTTTTTGAATTCCAATAAAATTTAACCAGTTGGCAGCCAGTTTTTCTTTTTTTAATTGTCCTCAATTTTTCTGACACTTCAATTTTGAACAAAAGCATAATTGTTTAATAGGCATTCTTATTTTCATGTCATTATTAGTTCTCCCTTTTGTATTCTTAGATGCAAGTTCATCCAAATACACATGAATGAATGTTTGTACATTTTCAGTAATTTGCATGCTATTCTCATGCTATTATCATACATACAATACGTGTCAATTTGAAATAAAAATGTCAAAAATGCAGCTCATGTTTCTTTACATGTTTAATTCCATTTGTTGTTATATCATTTCTCACATGTAAGATGACAGCGTGCAGGCAAATAAAACATTGTCATTCCTTTGACTCATTATAAATCATTCATAACAAGCTAGTCTTTGTAATACACTAAATATATTACATGGGTTCAAGCGATAGGTTCTGAACTCATCAAAATATTTGATGCCACAGAACACATGGCCAACAGCCCTCGACCAATCAGAGTTGCGATAAAGTGTGGTTCTATTTCACCATGAATTCACTTAGATCACTGCTGAAAAAATTCAAGAAAACAAAAGATTTTCATTGCAACAATTTATTTATGACACCAAGATCAAAGTATCCATTGAGTCATGCTCGATTCAACTGACAATACTGGCAGCACGTTGTAACATTTTTCGAAATTTCACAAGTCAAAATGTCATCATTTGATTGGCTAATACGAATCTTTTCTTGGGCTGATTGTCCAGTGCTAAGCTTGTTAGATCACACCCCTCAGTGACCGTGATCTAACCTATAATTCTCGGCAGTGGTTATATACTTAGAAAGGCAACGAGCTCTTGACACAAAGCAATTTTAATAATATGGTGTACATCAACTTTTTGTGATCCTATGAAATCCACTAGGAACAATTGACAACACTATTCTCATAACCTGTTTAAACAAAATTGGTTTTCAATAAAACTGTATATTATTATGTCTTACTTTCAGGTTGTTATGCACTATTTATCAGGTGCATCATCGAGTTGTGATGCCTCGTATTTGTTAACATTATTAGGATTATGTAATCTGTTTTGTGCATGGCCAATTGTCTGTTTGTTGTATTATTTTAATGTTGAAGAATATTCCTGGGATGAAGTACCATGGTTTATGATGTTCTTGTCCTCCCTAGCAGGTCTAGGTTAGTACAAGTAATTGTTGACTCGCTTGTAATAGTCAAAGTCTTGTCAAAGTGCTTGTCATCGTGCTTGTCATTAATTATGCAGAATATGTGACACTCTTTGTTCACCGGTCTTCAATGTTGTGACATTCATTCTCAAGAGCTTTTCAC